GCACGTGCGCTTGCCAGACAGAGAGAGACAGAGAGACAGAAAGCGAGAAATCACCCCCCAAGGGGGATGGTCACGTCACAATCCCTTCTCCTCCATTCTCCTCTCGGGATCTTGGGCACGCATGCACATGCACCTGGCGTGGGTTTTAAGCCACCGGGTCCAGGACGCAAACTGCGGTCGACTACGTGGGAGTCCAGCGACATAGCCATTATGCTAACTGCTGGTTCCCCAGTAAATACATGTTTTTACTTTATAAAAAATTTCACAAGTTTATTTTCTGTAGTATTTTTTCTGACCAAAAAAAATAGAAAACAATGCAAACTGTTAAATCACTTAGGCTCATCATTTGTCTACTGGTACATTATGTAAGTCTAAAGAATAACCAGTTACTCCTTATTAAAATATGGATAGATATGTAGGATCATTTTTAAAGCAAGGATCAGGGCATAGCATATATATTCAACTGCTTTAGCAACAAACAGGGTGATCAGTATATTTGCTCATGTAAACATAAAGAAACTTTGGATGAATGGAGAGGAAACTAAGAAGAGTAATCTCTGCAGGGAGAAGAAACTGAAAAGACTCAGCAAAAGGCAGATGAGGACTGAAGGTGACTTTTCACTGCAGACCATTTCGTACTTGCTGCCTTTCGATCCCAAATATAAGTTTTATTTAAAAACTAAAAATAAGATTCAAATGCTTTTTATAAAAGGTGAATTCTTTTTGTGAATTATATATTTATTTAATTACACTTGCTATTAGCATTATTATTTTTAATTTAATCAGAAAGAGAGAAAGGGAAAGCAAGAAAGCAAACCGCTTGGTCCAGGACTTGAACTGCTGTCTTCCATGCGTGAGTCTAATGTCTTAACCACCATATCACCTGCCAGCCCACAAAAGGGAATTCTTTAAAGGGTCATTATTTATATTTAAAGTTATTGTCAAGATTGCTTAATCCTAGCATCAAACTGAGTCCAGTTTAAATGGGAGAGAGATTGAATTTTGATTGTGGAAGACGTTGGTGAAGAGGAAACAGGATACATGTTGGAGCATAATATATCACAAGGGATCAGAGATTGAGGGCACTATGATGAGAGGATTTAAAATCTGAACTGTGTCCTGGGTACTTGGGTAGTAGGGAGGCAGGTCACAGAGGGTTTAAAGGTTGCAAACAGGATGAGAAAGAGTACAGACATAAACTGCAGTTTTGCCTGGACCCTTTATAGTGTTATTGCCCTGAAAATCAGCTCAGTACCTACTTGCCAGGCCTGCAGCATCAGAAAGAAGACTTTGTTAGCATACGTGGAAACTCATTCAATAGCATGATATCGGGCAATGTGTTACTACCAGCTGTCACCATCACCCAAGACTGGAAGTGGAACAGAAACAAAGATGGAGAATGTGTAAGAAAACATCTAAGGATTGCCATGTAACGGCAGAACAATTTCCCTGACATCAAGTTATAGCCATCAAATGCAGGTTATAATAGTTTTTTTTTTTTTTTTTTTTTTTTTTAATTCTGAGAAACAGAAGAAATAAGGAATTTAAAGAAGGTTTCACAAAAATAACACTTCTGAATTATGAACTAGCATTGAAACACAGTGACAGATGAAGAGGAAACAACATGTTTAACAAGGCTAAATCTTTCTAAAAGACAGATCATCTTGAACTGGCATTCCAAGTGATAGAATTAATGGAAAATTTGATCAGTTGTCTGTTTATCAACAAGAAGAATACTGATCTCAGGAAGATGACATATTGCAAGATGCTTCCACAGTGAAAAATGAAAAACAACCTTTGGGCCTAGAACTGCTTTAATTAAATCATCATTTTGTAAGGAGAAAAATGACTAATAATGGTATACTTTTACGCATCTTTCCTCTCACCCTGCAATAAACAACAGTTGCAAATCATTTGCCTAAAATATTAATGATCTCAGACATGAATGAGCTTCTCTTATGACTATGCAGGTTACAAATATTTATCAAATCATTCAGCATCAAATTATACCATGTACCATAGAATTACAGTGACATCTCTGGTTGAAAATGAAACTATCTAGAAAGAGAATAATGTACACCTTTGCCTGGCTTATTCTCCTGGCTATGTACTATTTTATGAGTCAGACACGTTTAGAAAACTTAATTCTGGGAAATAGAACATAGCTGAAACATGAAACACAGAATCACATTTTGTAAGTCCTGTTCCTCTCTTGTTTGAACATTGAACTTAGGAAACATGATGAATTCTGTAGATACTTAAAATCACTTGGAGAAGGGTTTCTCAGCCTCTGCACTATTGACATTTTAGCCTGGATACTTCTTTGAAATAGAGGCAGGCCTGTGCAGTATAGGATGCTAGCAGCATCTCTGCCCTCTACCTGCTAGATGCCAGTATTATCCTCCATTTATGACATTGAAAAATGCCTCCAGACATTGCCAATATGTCCTGGGGGGTCAAAATTGCCTCTGCTTGAGAACTGCTGACTTAGAAGTTTGCTCACTTTTTCTAACATCTCTGTGCTAGTAGAGGTAATAAAACTCAGTCTCATTCACCAGAAGCAAAACCCAACTAAAGAAGTAAATGTAATGGTTATCATGAAGCAAAACCACTCGTTGATCAGAACCACTCATTTCTCTAAAGAAGAAAATGCAGCCTACCGAGGCATTTTCTCACAGAATGCCTATACAGAACTAAGACATCCTACTTTCTCAGGCCACCCCCACAAGAGGAAAGAAAATACCAAAGAAAATTCATCCTAAACACTTGAATACCAGTGACAGAATCATTGCTCGTTACAAATTTTTCCTCAGAAATTGAAACACTTTCTGTGGTGAAACAAACCATGATGAATAGCAAATAAGAAAAGAACTCACTGTTTCCAGAAGCATTTTTTCGGAATTTTGTCAGGTCGACGTTTGGTGGTCTGCTAGGTTTTGGTGGAGGCGGACCCAAAGTAAACAAGGAAGGCAAGGGCTTCTGCCTGGGGGTGGCTGGAATCTTGTCTCCCTTTTCCTTCTCTTGACCTTGGCCCCATGACCCCCCTACTGTCAGCTTAGAAGGTGCCTTAGGGAACTTGAGAGGAGGTGCCCCAGAGGCTGTCTCTTCCTGATTCATTTTGTTCAGGAAGATGTTCTTAGCAGCGTCTATCTTCCTATCTTCTTTTTTTTCATCACTATTTTTGGAGAGGCCTGGACTCCCTCTGCTTGCAGCAGGTTTCAAGACTACTCCAGAAAAAGGTGAACTTGAAGTGTCACTTCCCTGGTCTTTATTTTCTGGGTCTTCCCTTGCTGGTTTTAAGGGCCCGCTTCTGGACCTGGCCCCAGGTAGAGTCGGCAGACCTTTCTGTGGAGACACATTCTTAGCGTGGTTCTCATCTTCCCGGGAGTCCTCGGTACTCAGGGATGGCTTCGGGCCAAAGGTGGGTTTGGGGAAGAGGGGTTTGGGGTCATGATCTTGTGAGGCTGCCATAAACTTGCCTTTAGCCCCAGCTAACTTAGGGAACACCTGCATCTGTTCATTTTCGGGGGTTGGAGGAGTAGACCCAGGCTTTGAGCCTGCTGGCTTTAAGTCCCGCTCTTGGTTTGCACTGTGGAGCGATGGCTTGTTCCCAGGAGGCCTGGGAAACACAGGCTTGGCATCTTCTTTGGGCAAGTTGATGGGCTTGGGGCCTACAGGTTTTAGAAATCCCACCTTCCCATCAGGCTCTCTGGTGGCCGAGTTTGCCGGGATTCCAAATCTTTGGTTTACTCCTGCAGGCTTCAGAAATGGAGGTTTGGGCTCCTTGTCAGGCTTTTCTTCAGAAGGTTTCACCGCCAAAGGGGGCTTTGTGGACCCAAACTTAGGTACATTGCTGGGTCCTGCGGGAGGGCTGGCATTTCCTTGGTTGGTGAATAAGTTCTTTTTTGCTTGTATTCCTGCAGGTGAGTTTTGCCCTGGGACTTTGAAGGGCCGGCTATTGGAAACCTCCTCTGTCGGGTTGCCCCCTGTGTTAAACTTCGCCATGAGGGACTTCACATCTGCTTTCCCATCCTACAAGCATAGGGAACAAAAACTAGCTGAGAGCCCGAAGTCGTAATTACACAGTTTAAAATACTATACCTTAAAGGGCTTCCTGGTTTGAGGCCCACAGCGTTACTGATTGGTTAGCAAGATATTGTAACATTTATCTTCCTCTATGGCAAAATAAGCTGTGAGAGTTTCTTGAAAGGGGAGGGCTATGGCTGAGCGTTTTTTTTTTTTTTTTCTTTTGGTCATCTTAGACCAACTGGCTTATTTTTGCTTAAGTTGTCACTTACCTTTTCCTCTCTCTTCGCTTTCTCTGGCTATCTCGTTGGATGTACTCTACCTTGATAGTTACTGACTTTTTTTGTTGTTTGAAAAAATATGGAAGTGACTAACATGACTTCTTTTATATTTTACAATTGAGACTCTTGAATAGAAACTACACTTTAAAAATGAAAGTAAACTCTTCTGTAAATTTAGGCTGCACACTTTCTTTCTACCGCGTGGCCATGTTTAACATCTCTGTGGTTTACAACGGTGTTCTTTTTCTCATCCACATGCAAGGTCTGTTTGCTAACAGGGAAAAGGTGCAGAAAGCTTCCCTCATTTTCCTAAGTAAGTAAAAAAAAGTTTTTTTCCTACTTTTTTTTTTTTTTAACAAATATTTAGTGCTCATGACTCAGTAGTATTCAGACTAGCAGGCAGAATGTGCTCACTTTCAGGGTGGTCCTGGCCAGAGGGCAGGGTCTGGAGACACACAGGGAAGGTAATGAAGAAGCAGTTGAGGCAGACTGGGAAATCTCACTTCCAGGCCATTCTTTCCACCTGTCTTGTCTCTTCTATGACATTTATTACTCCTTCTCAGTGGTCTGTGTGTCTTCATCTAGAGTTAGAGTTATAATTTAGCAAAGATAGTAGACATTCATCTTTCTCTGTGAGTATAATCCCATTTAATCTGGGAGTGAGTTCTCATTATTAATTTAATTTAATTTAATTTATTATTATTATTTTTAATTTGCTGTAGGGCACTTGGGTTCAACAGAGAAAAAGTGAGAAAGCAAGCTGCCTCATCTGGGACTTGAACTGTAGTCAGTCATGTGGGAGTCCAGAGCTCTAACCACCACACACCTGCTGACCTCAAGAGAGTTATTTTTTAATAGTTATTATTTTGTTCATGAGAGTGAGAGAAACAGAGAGGGAGCCAGTCACCCCCCCCCAACAGGTTCTCCCATACAATCTCCCCAGTCTAGGGCTTTCCAGCTAGGGTCATGGGTACAAACCCTGCATGTACAGATCAACAGGGAAAACAAATGCACGATCTTCCATATGGCTCCAGCATTGCTTGAACAGCATGCTACTGCTGCGCCACTGAGCCGGTCCTAATCTGGGAGAATGAAGAGAGGAAAGTGAGTTTTCTTTTCTTAAAGATCTTTTTTTTTTTTTTTTTTTGCTAGAGGGCTACTATGTTTACTAGAGAAGAAGAAGGTAAGTGAGAAGGAACCTCCTCAACCCCCTGGGGATGGCCAAGTGCAACTTCATCTCCATCTCTCCCTTCTTTCAGGAATTTGGACACATACACCCAAGCCTTGTGTGTTGCTCAAGCTGCTGGAGCTGGGACTTGAAATATGGAATTGGCCATGAGAGATTCACCTGACTGGCTTCAAAAGTTGAATTTTCTAATTTGAAACTCAAAAAAAAAAAAAAATCACTGAAGGTACAATGTGGCTGTAGTAATTTTCCTTTACTTTTTAAAAAAATTCATTCTTTTTTTTTTTTTAATGAGAGAGAGCAGTTAGGTATGCCATCACCGGCACCACTGACGCTAGGCTAATTGTCTTTTTCATGCTTTAAAATTCACCTGCAAAATGTTTCCCAACTTCTCATTTCTCCTCTCCCTCCACATTGTCACAACACACTCAATACTTTTTGTCTTTCAAGACTCCATTCAAATACCACAAAACCAGATCCTGTCCAGCTAAGAATGTTTACTCCCCCTTTTAATTCATGTGGCACTTAAAGCACTTCTCACACTTTTCTGTTATTTCCTCTCATAGTAATAAGAACCACCATTTAGTGGGTAAGTGTGAGCATGTATGCTTGATTCTCTATTGCCCCATCTCATTTTTCAACAATAAGAGAATGACTTCAATTAACTTCATTTTATAGGAAAATAAAGTGAGGCTGAAACTGTTAGAGGATGACATGAAAAGAACATGAAGATGTGAGTGAATCCTAGTTTATTAGTGGAGCCTCAGGTGCAATATCTATAAAATGTGGTTAATAACACGTATCTTCCAGAATTTCCATGTGCATTAGATATAAAATTTTTTTAAAGGCTTTTGCCATGGGGCATGTGTGTGCACTGGAGAGAAACTGAGAGAGACAAGTGAGAGACAGAGAGAAATTGAGAAATTACCACCAAGGAGAGATGGCTACTCCACAATCCCTTCTCATCCATTCTCCTCCAGAGACTTTGGGCATACACACACGTGTCCAGTGTGAATTTCAAGCCATCAGATCCAGGACCTGAACCATGGTCAGCCACGTGGGAGTCTAACACCTTAACCCCCCTATGTTTCTGGGTGGTCCATGAGATGGAATCTGTAAAATACCTGCCTGGCCCACAGTGTGGGGCCCACCCATGGAAACTATTAGAACAGTTAAGCAGCATATCCAGGGGCTCATGGCCAAGAACCTTGAGCATTGAAGGCAAGCTTCAGTATGTCTTGGGCTCGCACGTCCAGAACTGCCTCATTCCTTTTTTGTGTCCCTGCAGCACCCAGTCAAGGGTCTGGCCCCCTCAGGATTCTGATATTGCTGGGAAGAAGGGTTGACCTGAGCTGAATATTGTGCATAGTGATTTTACAAGAGATGAGGCCCTCAGTAGGAGTTTCTCTCCATACCAAACTGTAGTGCTCATGTGTTTGCTGGGCAGAGGCAACTTAGTCAGAAGGAGAAAACCTAAGAACAACAATTTCTAGTGTGCATCTCATATCTTTGATTTATTCCCCTGTATACGAATTACTGAGAACACCTTGCTTTTGACCTTGACTCCCTTTACCATCTTCTCTTTTCTAGCCCCACGATTTCCTCAAACCTGAAGCAATCTCCAAAAGCAACAGACAGGAAAAGCAAGATGATGGACAGTTTGGGTATTCGGGGAAGAAAAAAGGAGGAGACTTCCCCTAAACCTTCAAGGAGATCATGGTTACAAAGCACACTGACCTTAGCCCAGGCAGCATAAAGACGTACCCAATGCAAAAACGTGTTTCCCATTGGAAGGAAGTCTGTTTCTGGACAAAATTCCTTTTGTTCTAGGCTTACTCTCTCTTTGTCTTTTGAATTTGAGATCTATAATTTATTCTAGATTTATCTACCTTTGTAATAAGAGGTTCCATAGTACAGTAGTTAAGAGCACAGTCCTGGGAGCCAAAGGATCTGGGCATGAGTCTTACTTGCTGTTTGACCTTGGGCATGAAACATGAATTCTTTGTGCTTTAGTTTGCTCATCCCCATAATGGAAAGAGCAATGCCTATTCTTAGGTCTGTTAGGAAATGTAAATGAGTTACTATTTGTAAAGCAGGTTAGAGTACCTGACACATAGTGGGTTTCCTATTTTTGTAAAGCAAATGAAACCTTAGAAATCATCTAGTTCCACTCTCTCTCACTGCATTCGTGAGACCAGAGAAAGCAAAGGATTGAAGCGACATCGCACTTATGGCAACGTTGCATCTTGGATATCACAAGAAAACCTGTGAAATTCAGTAATCCATTGTCAAACTCCATGTCCTGATTTTAGTCTTGAAAATATGGGAGTGGTAGATTCGTAATTGGAACGGGCAGCTCTGGCTGTCAGCCTAGACTCAGGATGCAGTGCAGTGTGAGGTTAAAGGCATAGGCACTGAGGGTATCCAGTTGGATTCAAACCTTGACTTTATCATGCACGACTTCTGTGAGCTCACAAGTTACCTCAGCCTCTCGAAGCCTTTCCTCATCTCTAAAATGAGTATGGTAACAGCACCTAGTTCTCACAAGGTTTGTGTTTGTTTTTAAGTCAGTGTTAAGTGAGTTTGTGAATATAAAGTTCTTAGATAAGAATTACATGTCCTATCTATCCAATGACTGCCATCATTGTTTTTGTTTTGTTTTGTTCTTTTTTTACAATTCACTAGTCACAAAAGCACCATTTTCTTCAGGTGACCAGATTCTGAAATTATAATCATTATGTGCCAATTTTAAACCAACATGCTGGGACAAACATAGAATAACAAAACAAAATTATGATTGTTGACTTTCATTTACCCACACTCTGAAAGTTTTCACTGAATGTCGAAAGATGGAAAGAAACAGACGCTAGCTCCTGTGTGTGGGGCACTTTGAAGAAACAATAAAGAAAACCTGAGCTTACTAAGCTGGCTGGCAGATCCATAGGCAGACCTCTGAAACTAGCTAGTTATGAACACTGATTTCTTAGCGTTAGGGGTTGTTCGTAGTTATCATTGTTTATAAATTTATTAGATAAAAAAATTTTATTACCTAGATTTACCCTAAATCTTACCAGTAACAGCTAGACTGTTTTTCTTAATAATTATAGGTAAAAATTATTTAAAAATTCACATTCTGGGACCAGCAATTGGCATAATGTCTATGTCGCTGGACTCCCATGTAGTCAACCGTGGTTTGAGTCCTGGACCCGGTGGTTTAAACTCATACCAGGCGCGTGTGCGTGCGTGCCCAAGATCCCAAGAGGAGAATGGAGGAGAAGAAATTGTGGTGTGACCCTCCTCCCTGGGGGGTGATTTCTCGCTTTCTGTCTCTCTCTCTGTCTTTCTGGTGAGTACACGCGCCCTATAGCAGAAACCTCTCACAAAAAAGTTCACATTCTCCCATTCTGATTTTACTGCAGATCAAATATCTATTCTATTCTCTAAGGTTCTTTATTTTTATCTCACATACATATATGTGTATGTGTGCATGTGTGTATATACATATAAAAAGATAGCAGCAAAGTACCTTTGTATGATGGAGTGAAAAGTAGCCTTCCTCAGGGACTGAACTCAGACCTCCTAGTTCTACAGTGATTGCAATTCAGGATTTATTAGTGCAGTATGAGTTTATGCCTGTTGTTCTGGAATAATTATTAGTAATGGTCCTTCTTGCTCTTAAACTGATCTGCTCTAAACAATAAATTAACAATGACCTTCCCCAGTTTCCCTCTCTAGAGGCAACTGCTGCTTCAGTTCTTTAGGTATGACAACATGTATATGACAACATATATATGACAACTCATGCATGGCAGCTACCTATATCCACCCAGATACACATACATACACACATACATTCACAAACACACATTCTTTCCATGTCCACTCTTTACACAAATGAAAACCCCTGCTCTCCACCTTGCTCTTTTTCTGGGGCTGGGATTTGGTTGATATACACCAGTATGGCTGGATGTAGGATCCACGGCCATTCTAATTATTTGGTACCTGTGCAATTTTGTTAAATTTTTTCTTTCTTTTTCTTCTTCTTCTTTTTCCTTTTGTTTTGTTAATTTGCCAGAGAGTACATGCACTTGGCTGAAGACAGAGAGAAAGAGAGAGAGGGGGAGAGAGGGAGGGAGAAAGTATCCTCCTCCCATGGACATGGTCATGCTGAAATCTCTTCTCCATTTCTCTCTCCTTTTGGGATTTAGGCATATATGCACACACACCCAATGTGTTTCTCAAACTTCTGGGTCCAGTGGGCCAGGACTCCAACCTCGCAACGGGCCATGTGAGATCCAGTCACCTTAATCACCACACTATGGGCTGGCCTGTAAAATATTTCCTATATTAATTGTGTTTTTTTCCCTTGCCATTTGTTCAGTATTGGTATTGTTA